TAATTCTAGTTTGTTGGCAATTACACTGAGTGTTTGGGATTTCAGTGTGGCCCCAAGCCTTTCTCCGGGTGAGATTTTATACATAAAAACTACATGCTTCAGTTAACAGGAACAGCTAGTCAGAAGTGGAGCTACAGAAGCCAAGAAGTGCTTTTGGAGCCTTTCCCAGAACTGTGGACTTTGATGGACTAGGTCTTTATTTTTGTTTTGATTGCGGGTGCTATTTATGTATTAAGCTTTACAGCCTGAATGGTCAGATTAACTAGGAATAAAGTCTAATTACCAACCCTGTGTTATACACTTTAAGTCAACTTTTGTCACAGATCCTACAGATTTTTAACCATACCCAATAAAATCACAAATCTTGAGGTACAGAGAGTTCACGAAGTAGTCGTATAAATCTTGTGATAAGGTTTATATCTTAGCAAAAGTTTTAGGTAGTTAAGTTAAACCAACAGTCTTTTGTTTCAAGCTACTCTGCCTTGCTTTTTGTTGTTGTTTTGTTTTGTCACAAAGCCAGGGGGCTCACCTGCCATAGAACAAAACTTTCCAATTCCAGAGCCAGCTTTTCAATGAAGCAGGACAGTGTAAAGCAATATTTCAATATTATCCATACCCCAGAGATATTTCCAGTGGCCAGCACGCTCGAGCCCTGGCTATCAAAGTAGCTCTGGCAAGCAGCTGTAGCAGCTGGTGGCATCGGATTTGGGCCTGGGTGGAGGGAGTGCACAGAGCCAGGGTGGCATGCCAGGGAGGGGTGTGCCCACAGGGCCCCAGCCCAGCAGCATGGGCACAGCGGCAAAAGAAGCCTGGTCCAGCATCCATTCGCCTGTAACGTGAAAAGACTAATGGGGATACAGAAACACACACAAGTGACAGAAACAGCAAAAATGAAACCAATAAACACAGACCACGGAACATTCACACAATCAGACGAGACTGATCAAAAACAAAGCATGCAGGGAACATCTTCATGCGTACATTTAACTGGGCTGACCGATCGCCATCTCAGTTGCCCATATCCAAACAAGTGGAACCAGGCGGGCAGTACGAAGTCTCGCATTGCCCCGATGGGAGGGTGCTGGACCTCAACAGACCTCCCCATGTCTGCAGATCAAGATCCTACAGAATCACAGCCTCACGTCGCTGAAAGGTTCTCATGACTTCGGAGGGGCGGCCTTCGGAGGAGACAGGTGCTTGCTGGTTCCTTTTGACCTGGCCCTTTGCTCAGGCCATCTGCCAAGCTGAAGGTGTGCCCCTGGCCTGGAATGCACGCCCCCTACGGAACTGCCCCAGTCCCAGAGGCCTGGAGCGGAGGGGTTAGCTTCCGGATCTGGGCTGGGGTCTTGATCTCAATGGGGCCTCCAAATGTTGAGTCCACATATGGGAGGAGAAAGACCATGAACACAAATCATGGCCAAGTCCATTAAAACCAGCCTTTAAAAAAATGTGTGTGCAGGGCTGTCTCCCCCTAAGGGAGGCTCAAGAGATCTCCATTGCAGGTGGGAAAATAAGGCTTTTTATACCTCAGAAGCAGGGAGTTTGCAAATGGGGGGATTAGGCAGGCAAATGAGTGAGGTTACAGGAGCATAGCAAGGTCACCTTAAGAGGGTGGTCATGTCAAGTTTTTGAAACAAAGGCATGGTTGCCTAGAGCAGGCAGTACAGAACCATTTGTGGTTAAGGTGACAGGAAGGACAGAGCCCAGTGAGGTACAGAGGTTTAGTCATAAATAGGAATGAACCTAGTTTGTCTTTACTATAAGATGGCTTCCCAGCCCAAGATGGAGGCAGGCTGGTTTCTCACCTGCTACCATGCCTCCCCAACCATACACCAAAACAATATTTTCTGTGACGATCTGTGACTGCAGCGCCCCCGTGTGGAGCTGGGTAGTGCCGACGGGAGAACCCCTGGGATCACAGGACACAGCTACAAGGAAGAGAGCCTGACACAAGATAAAAGGCCAGGAGGCTGACACCAAGGCTGTCCTCTGACCTCCACACACACCAGGGCATGTGTGTGCTCACATTTGCACACATTCACACAAGATCGCCATGACTGAGCCGAAGACACTGTTGGAGTAAGATGAAACACCAAACTCAAATTAATCAGTAATTTGCTTTTACAGACTTCTGTGGGTCACATTCCGAGGGTGGAGGAGACACTCTGCCATTCGGGATTCAGCTATGCGTGTCACACCTTTGCGGTAACATTTCTGTAATGTGACGTAGCAGGCTGGTCTTGCGGCATTGCCTTTCTGCTGCATGCTGTCCTTCCTTCTGCTGGCTGCTGTGCTCCAGAAGTTTCTTCCTCCTCTTCTTATTCTTGCTCTTCTTTTTTTGTGCTCTTTTTCTTCCTCCTCCTCTTCTTCCTCTTCTTCTTCCTCCTTTTCTTTTTCGTGCTCATCTTCCTCTTTTTCTTCTTCCTCCCCTCCTCCTCTTCTTCTTCCTCTTCTTTTCCTTCTCCTTTCTCTCCTTTTCTTCTCCCTCTTTTTCTTCTTTTTTGTTTTTTGGAGACAGTGTCTCTGTGTATGTAGCCTTGGCTGTCCTGGACAGTTCTAGGCTGGCCTTGAGTTCAGATATCCACCTGCCTCTGCCTCCTTGAGTGCTGGGATTACAGGCGAGCACCACTGCGCCCAGCTCAGAAGTATTTTCAGATAATATTTCTCATTTGGTTTGTGTCAGTTAACATTTTATTTCCCTGAACAGATGTATCTGCAGACTTTTTTGGAGTTCAATAACATAGTGAGTCATGCGTAAAATTCAGTAATCTTTTTGTGTTATATCCAAAAATAACTTTGCTTATTTGAAGAAGAAAATGGCCCGAGTCTCTGTGTCTTTCATCAGTCAGTTTTGTGGCCTTGTTATGAGGTGTGATGGGAAGGCTGGCGAGCAGGGATGTCGGAGCTCGGCTGCAGCCCTGTGGTCATCACAGTTGGTCAGTGTTGATTCCATAGGCTCTGACATTCTTGCTTGCAACGTGGTTTATGATCATCTCGACAGAAAAAAGAAAAATCTTAGTAAATACAGAGTCTTCTTCTGAAGCCTGATTTTGTTTTGGTTATGTCTGTCTGTGCACACGGGTGGATGAAGGTGCCTGAGAAGGGCAGAGGCAGGCATCCTAACCCCAAGCCAGAGGAGCCAGGCTGGTCCTGAGCAAGCACAGCCTCTGCCCCACCCAACTCTTTCTCCAGCCCTTGAAGAGGCCTAGCTTACAGCAGCATTCTGCGGATTCTTCCAGTCTTTGCTCCAGTCTCCACACTTGTTCAAACAATAATTTCAACTGTTGAAATTACTAAAAAGAAAAAGAAAAAATACTGAGCCCTACTTGACCGAGTAAGGTGAGTCAAATCTACTTTAGAGCCAAATTCATACAGTAATTTTTAAAACTGACAAATTCATGGCTCTGCAATACAAAAATATCGTGTTCATGTTGCCCTGCTGAAGCCGAGTCAGAAAGGCATTTAGATATTTTGACAGAAAATTTAAGCTTATCTTCTTTATTATTATTTTAAAGGATTATAATCTCTTCTCCCATCTAGAAATTCAATCTGTATGATAACTGTTCTTAGTAAGATTAGAAAACATATAATATGTCCATTTTTGTATCTGATATTTTGCAATTTCTGTAAATTCTGGCCTCCTGTTACGAATCTCTGGAGATGGGAGGGAGATGAATTCCTAATGATGGTGGTCAGAGGCTCTCTCCCTCACAGGCCTCTTTTTCCTGCCATGGCATGTAATTATTTAATTTTTTTAAAAAAAATAAGAGGTGTTTGTTGTTGTTTTTGAAACAGGACTCAAGTATGCAAAGCTCACTATGTAGCTGAGGATGACCTTGAACTTATTAAAAAAACTGTATTTATTTAATTTTATGTGTAGAGGTATATATTAGTGAAATGTGTTTGTAGTGACAACAGAAACCAGAAGAGGGTATTGGGCCTCTTAGAACTGGAATTATAGGCAGTTAATTAATATAAAATTAATTTTATATGTACGGATGTTTTGCCTGCATATATATGTGTACCACAGTGCCGGATGCCCATAGAGGCCAGAAGGGGATGTTAGATTTCCTGGAACTGGAGTTATAGATGGTTAAGAGCCACCTTGTGGGTGCTGGGAATCACACTCCGGTCTTCTGGAAGAGCAGCCATATTTATAACCACTGAGCCATCTCTCCAGCCCATACATAGTTTTTAAAAGAGTAATTCCTGACAGTTTTTCCCTGGGGAAGCCTTTACTGCTCTGGTTTGTTGGTGTTAAGGCAGGGTGTCACTACACTGACCAGCCACAATGGCCTCACATTTTTGCGTAAGCTGGTTCCTGTCAGTGTCCAGCATAGCCTGGAGTCCAGTCTCCATGCCCTGCTAATGCTACTCTTCACATTAGTCTACATTTGTGTGTGTGTGTGTGTGTGTGCGCGCGCGTGCACGTGTGTGTGATGTGGCACAGGCATGGAGGGAAAAACTCTGGGAACGGGTTTCTCTCCCCGCCATGTACGTGCTCAGGTACTGTGTCAGGCTTAAGGGAAGCAGCTTTAACCACTGAGCCACCTATCTTGTGTTTAAAACAGTGAAATCCCAACCGTTTCTTTTTTACCAATAAAGACTCAGGAGCCAGACACTGGGGTAGAAACCTGCTAGCTCAGGGAGGCAGGAAAGCACCCACTCATTCTCCTCCACACTTAAAAACCTCTCAAACTGAATGGCCCTCCTTTCTACTTCCTGCGTGCCTCTCTATCCATCCTCCTGACTGCCTCTTACTCTCTATGGTTTTTTTCCTGCATTCACTTCTTGTTGACTGTTGCTTGCTTGATGCAGGGTTGACTTTATTTAATCCTGTTTACAGAAAACTCTTGGATCAAAGATACATGGTCCGGCTGAGGCACACCAAACGAGAAACAGGTCTTCACAGTTCACAATCTCAGTGTTCGTAATGGAATCAAATATCCTGCCACACCTTCCCCTAGACCAACATTCTCAGTGTTTCCTTTTTCCTTCAGGTATTCCTGGCGTCATCAGCTGAGAGAGTTTAAAAGTGAGTACAGAGTCGTTGCGCTGGATTTGAGAGGCTACGGAGAGTCGGATGCTCCAGCTCATCTGGAGAGCTACAAACTGGACTGTCTGATAGCAGACACGAAGGACATCGTGGACTCCCTAGGTAGGCCAGCCCTCTAAAAGCTTATTTTTGTGTGAGTGTGTGTGTGTGTGTGTGTGTGTGTGTGTGTGTGTGTGTTAAGTAATGGTGAGAAATGCTAGAAAGAACTAGCAAATGAGATGTCCCCATCTGCACGGAGGAAATCCTGTGGGGATCTCTATTAATATCTTTAACATAATTCAGAATATCGTTATGATTACCTTGAGTGAGAGTTAATCATTCGTGTGCCCTTTAATGGTGGACTATGTTCTGAGAAATGCACCATTAGACATGAAGTTTGTCTTTATGCCAAAACATAGTGTGCTTATGCCCCGACCCACGGGACCTAGTAATTCGTGGGGTCCCGAGGAGGACCAAGCCTGAAAGAAAAATGGGCAAGAGACAAGAAACGAGACCAGGCAATGAGTTGTTGAGGTCTGTTTATTGCTCGCTGGAGCTATACTTTTATATTTTTGAAATAAGGGAGCGACTACCCTCCCAAGCGGAAAAAGGGGGCAAATTATCTCTTGCATAAGTGGCACATTCCGTGGCTCTTCCTGGGATCGATGAAATCAGTCAGGGCGGGGGTGGTTTAGCAACTTCTTGGGAAGTCCCCTCCAGGTGGTTGAAGTTGATTGCAGACCCTGGCGCCAGCATCCATCGTAACTATGTGCCTGGGATTCCTGGTCCCTGGCATGCTTACACCAGGCTTGTGTAAACCTGGGATGTCTGAGGCCCTTGCTTGCATACCACAACATAATAACATAGAAAATGGTTTCTAAATTGGAGGAAGAACACTCTGAAATAGCAATGAAGAGAACAGGGCTGGAGCAATGGCTCAGTGCTCCAGAGCACTAACTGCTCTCCTAGAGAACCCAGGTTTGAGTCCCAGCTCACAACCAATTCCAACACTCTCTTCTGGCCTCCAAGGGTGTCATGCACACATACGGTGCATAACCATACATGCTGGCAAAACATCCCAACAAGTGAAAAAATAAGTCTTTCCTAGAAAGACTATGACCCAGTAGCAGGGACTTTTGTTGTCATATACTCCATATGACACTTTGGTGACGGTTATGCTTCTGTGTGGCCGGCAGTGCAGTGGGCATGCTCACAGCTGCAGCTCAGGGCTGAGGGTGGTGACTGTCACTGTAGACAGTAATGTGCTGGGTAAATGCAACTTTTATCCTCTTGAGGTAATTGTCGCCTCCTTTTGCTAACCTAGGCCTAGTCCTGGAAGCTTCTCGCCTCCATACAATCTAACCTCGGCCTAAAATGATTCAGCCTCTGAGACCCAGTGCTGAATAAGCTCACCCTTTCTAGTTCTTTCTGAGCTCTGGGCTGTCTTAAACTCCTCTCCCAGCTGACTGGTTCAAACTGGCTTCTCTCAGCTTCTGACTGAGGTGTTCTGCTTGGCCTCAAAGTAACTCTAGCAATCTGTTCTATTCTTCTGGCTCCTTCTCATTCTGTAGTTCATACAACCTTCCTGGTAAAAACTGCCTCCCTCCCTCTGCACTGCTCTCTCAAGCTCCTCTCTTTCAGCTCTGTCCTCCTAAGACTGTCCTCTGTATCCTATCTCTGACTCAGTCCATCAAATCTTTCTCTGATTTGTTACTTTGTCTGCCCCTCAATTAGAGGTCACTGTCAAGCATGGGTTCTTCTTTCTAACATTACCTTCATTGTTTGGGATTAAAGATGTGTACTAAGGATGTGTCTGTCTTCCAGCCAGAGCAGCCATGTTGCTGGATTGAAATTCCTCTACAGTGCTGTATCAGCAGGACAGCTAGCATGATGTCACAAATGAAAAAAAATTCCTCACCTTGGTTCTCCTTTTATGGCACCAGCCATCATTGTTGGAAATGGCTTTCTTCAATGTGTGATGGTCTTTAATTAATGACATAATTAAGATTGTCTACTTATTCAGTTTGGCCTCAGACTTCTATTACGTCTGGTTGTAAATTCAGTATGTGAAACTAGGGAGGAAGTAGTTACTTCCTGAAAATAACGATTTATAAGTTTGACATAAAAATCTGACATTTATGATTTTACTCTAATTGCTGATTTCTTAACATTCAAACTCTGCCCCAAATAATCTCATGTATGACCTGTTTGTGTGCAGTCCCTATCCTGGCTTCCACATGCAGTTCCACAGGACCCAAAACTTCGCTGCTTAAGATTTTTCTTTTAGAATACTTTATTTGCCCTCCAAATTCCCCTGGCACGGCACCTTCATATCCTCATTGTTAATTCTATTTTTAAACCCACTGATTCCAACTAGCACTGACCATTTGTACACAGAGGAGCGCCTGGTACCTGGAGCATGGGCAATCTAACAGAAACCACAGAAAGATGTGAACTAGCACACATCTCAGCAGCCAGCCCTGCCCAGCCCTGCCCCAGCAGCCAGCCCTGCCCCAGCAGCCAGCCCTGGCCGGCACCATCAGTTGCTGTGGCTCTTCAGAGGCTACAGCCTCCTGACCCTCTCCATCCATCCACAGGCCGTTCACTGGCTGGACTGTGTGCAGGTTCCTGAGGACCGTGGCTGCACTGTGTCTAGAGACTGCACCCACACCACCATGTTCCAGCCTCCAGCCTCCGTTTCCTTCCGCCCTCTCTTCCTCATGTTTTCTAAGCCTTCAGACGGGAGGGGTTGACACAAAGTCCACCCGGAACTGGGCACTCAGCAGCCACCTGGTCTCAGCATGTGGGCCAGGCCTAGCACACTCAGAAGAGCTACCGGACTTTTCTTTTTTCTTGAGGCAGTCCCTCATGTGGCCCAGGCTGGCCATGGACTCTTGATTCTGCCATTCAAGTACTAGGTTCATGGCTGTGAGCTACAGGCCCCATTCATCGAATGGGGTGTGGTGGTGGTGGTGGTGGTTTTGGTTTTGGTTGTTCAAGACAGGGTTTCTCTGTGTAGCCTTGGCTGTCCTGGACTCGCTTTGTAAACTAAGCCAGCCTCAAACTCAGAGAGATCCTCCTGCCTCTGCTTCCCTGAGTGCTGGGATTACAGGTGAGTGACACCTGTGCCCAGCTTCAGTAAATAGTTTTAAAGTGTAGAGTTTTTAGGAGAAACTGGGTAAGATGGCCGTAAATAATCTCAGAAATGTAACGATTTTATGTGAGAATGCTTTCAGCTGTTTCTTGACAGTGCTGCCGACATGTTTGTCTTGGCCACAGGGTATAGCAAATGTGTCCTGATCGGCCATGACTGGGGAGGCATGATTGCCTGGCTGATTGCCATCTGCTACCCTGAGATGATAATGAAGCTCATTGTTATTAACTTCCCACACCCAAGTGTATTTACAGGTGAGTTTCAGCCTTCACGAAACCACTTCTGCTAATGTGATAACTCACTGTCGCCACTGACGCTCTGGATTTAAAACAGCAAAATGTGGTTAGCATAATCTTTATAAGTTATGTGAAGCCTGGGTGTGGTGGTGCGTGTCTGTACTCTCAGCACTTGGGAGGCTAAGACAGGAGGGTGGAGAGTTCAAGGCCAGCTTGAGCTACACAATGAGACTCTGCCTCAAAGAGAGATAGATAATAAATAAATAAAAATGCAACCAACATGATATCTTTGTTTTTTCAGACAGGGCCTTACATGGTAGCCCAGGCTGACCTGAGCCTTCAGTACTCTTGCCTTTTCTTCCCAAGTGCTGGGATTACAGGCATCAGGCATTTGCCATCAAGCCCAGCTGTGTATGTGTGTGTGTGTGTGTGTGTGTGTGTGTGTGTGTGTGTGTATGTGTGTGTGTGTGTGTGTTGTGCATCAAGCCCAGGTCTTTACAATTGTTACTGAAGTACTCTACCACCGAGCCACCCTGCCAGCCTAATACTATTGATCTTAAATCTTCCTGAAAAAAAAGAAAAAAAAGAAAATTTAGCTTCCCATTTGCTTTTATAATTTCATTTCTTTTTTGGACAATATTTCACTTCACTTGGAATGTATCATGGAGGAAATATGGTGGCGGTGCTTTGAAAGTCATAAATCTTGGCAGAGAGAAATTCTCCTCAATTCTGAGTTCTTTAGCCATTGAATACAAAAGCAATCTTTAGAGCAGTAATCCTCAACTGATTAACCTCAGGAATTCTTTATTCTCTTAAGATTATTAAAGACCCCCAAGGAGACTATATCTATTAGTGGTCACCACTTAGGAAATTAAAACTGGAATATTTAAAATATATTTATATATCCATTCATTTTTAAAACCTATCTCATGTTCACATAAACGCTATTTTTGATGAACACTAACTAAACTAAACAAAAGTACTAACATTTTTTCATATTTTATTTTTTACTTATTACAATTTATTCACAGCTGTGGTCCCCTCCCTCAGCCCCTCCCAACTAAATACATTTTTTTTTAACTAAATACATTTTAATGAAAAGAATGTTTCCCAGTTTACAAATCTCTTGAATTCTGGCATGCTGGAAGACAGCTGGGCAATCCTCTCTGCTTCTGCCTTCAATCTGTTGCAATCTGTTCTTAGAACAGAAGTGTGAGGAGAGATGTGGCCTCACACAGTTGTCACTGGAAAAAGCAGGAGTGTGCGTACATCCTGGTCTCCTCCTTCTACCCGTATCCACTCTCTCTCGAAATTCACGGTCAATTCTTCTTTAAGCACTGGGTGACAAGGGCCCTCTTGAGACAGCCCATATATTCAGGTGAGTAGCAGAACTATGTGCCATGTCCTCCTTTCCTGGTCATGTGGTCTATTAAAAGGATATGCTACAAGGTGGAGAATTAATAAAATCAAGGTTTTGCTGTTTCATCTTTAAGTGAAGCAGCCTTTTAGTTGAACTCATCAGCTGATGTCTTTCCACAGCTGTACAGTGGCGGACACCTGTTAGTGTCGCCGGGGTCACATGCTGACGTGTGTTCAGACAAGCTTTTCTCTGCTGTTGCTATCAGTGCGGATTTCAGCATGGCTAAAACGAGCACATAGCGCCTCAGTGTTGCTGTGAAATGGACATCACTTGGGTACCTGAAAGGATCTTGGGTACCCCCAGATGCTCAGACACTATCCTTTCAGGGCAGTTTTGAAGGGAACTCTCAAATGCTTAATGGTGATCAACAGCCTGTTAGCATGTTTATATATGGTTTTGGAAAAATTATAATTTTTTTTTCCTGTTCAATTACTCCTGTTGGGTTTTCTGAAGTTCAGCAACTACTAGGCTCCACAGCAATCATTTGAGAGACAAAAGGTTCAGAACTTGGAGCCGATGAGGTGGCTCAGCAGGGTAAGACACTCGCTACCAGCCTTACTGAGCTGAGTTTCCTGCCTGGAGCCCACGCGGTGGGAGAACGGCTTCCATGGCTGTCCTCCAACCCCATAGGCACGCTAAGGCACATGCATACATACACACAAAAGCACATGCATAATAAATTATTTTTGAAAGCTCAGAATGACACTTTTCCATTTCTCCTCAAAATTAAATAAGCAGGATGGCAGCGTCCTGGAGACTGCGGACACTGTGTTTTCATTAGGGGGCTGATTTTTCGGTACGCCTCCACCCACCTGCTGAGGTACGGTAGGAAGGGTGTTTGGTAGTGAAATGCCCTAAGATTTGTTAAACTTTTTCCGGTTAAATTAAGCAGCAGAGTCTCATGGCATGGCTGCTGGGTCCTTGGCACCCCGAGGGAGATGGCCTGTGCTGGCCGAGCTGTGTGGGAAACTAAGTCATGGCTTCATAAGGAAGGTACTTTGTATGAAGATAGAACATGTTACCAACGGCAGCCTAAATCCTCTTGGAAATAAGTTTGGGAGCACGAAGAAAGACACGTCCAGTCTAACCGAACTGTCTGGACCAGGCAAACTTTACTCTTGGCCAAGAGGGTGTGCTTGGAAGAGCAAACAAGACAGGAAATCCACTTGGCTTTTACTCTGACTCAGGTGGTGGCTGTGTCGTCCCCTGTCGGCCGGCGCCTGATGTCACTGTCTTTTGAACTGGCTAGTCTGAAAAGAACTGGCACACAGCAGATGAAGGCAGGTGGCAGGCGTGGCTCCAAGGAGGGGAGGGCCGTAACTGCTCGGGGTCAGCAAACTCCTAGACTGTCCAGCAGAACTTTGGGCAAACAGAATTTTCCTTGGGGTGAGCAAGAAAAACATTTGCATGGGGGGGGGGGCAGATGAAAATTTGAGTTACTTGTTCTAAACACAAGTTTTACAGTGTTTACTAGGGAAGACTCATATTAGATGTTTCTTACAACCCTACCGAGTATTTGCAGGCGACATGCCTGGATTTGTTTTCAGTTGACTTGATTTCTCTTAATTTAACAGCAAATAAAGCTTCAGTGGTGAATTCACAAAAAGTCTAGCACAGCAGTGGTCGGTATTCAGACATGTGAGCACAGTTACAACACGAAGAATAAAGAGCAGACTCCACATCAGGGAGTACAGAACAGGACAAGCTCCGTGTGTGTGAGTGCGTGCGTGCAGAGCTCTCCTGTTTGCCCTCAGGGCCTCGACAAATACTCAGAGTACATACTGTTCCACACCTACCCCGTCAGCCCGCTCCTCCTGAGCAGCCACTCCGGCTTTCCCTCTGCTTCCTCCAGCTCTCAGTCCCAGGGCCTATTTGGCCGACCCTGGACGCCCTGGCTTGAGTTTTGCATTGCTGGCTGTGTTACCATTTAAGACTGCGCCCAGCTGCTGAGCGACTCATGCAGAGGCCTTCTCTGGACACCTCTATCGATGATCCCCCCCCCCCACACACACACACGCACACACTGTCACTCTTAGTAAGAGTACCTTGTTCTGTTTTCCACACGATGTGTGTTGCTGGAGAGTAAACCTTGTGCACATTAGACAAAGCACTCTACCATGTATACTCACAGTGCAGTGAAACCACCAAGCTGGACCACTCCACAGGTAGAAATGTTCGTTGGGGATCAAACTGGCGGTGAGCAAAGGGAAGGAAAATGTCAGGAAAGGAAGCAGGTTGTGTATGGCAGTCATCGGGTGGGAGGATTTGAGTTGACTCTGGCTGTTTGAATTGACCAGGAACTAGATGCCCTGCCCTAAGGTATTTGCCCTTTGGGAACAGATGAAGAGAGGCTCCTGTTTATTGTTTACCCAGCCAGAGTGCTTCAGTTTGGGGCCTATGTCACCAGCACTGCCATTTTGAAGGGCCCATTTTGGACCTTACACACTGAGCTGTACCATTGACACTGGAGTGATCTTTAAGATTTGCGGAGGACCATCTCTTGAGAACCTTTGTTTGTTCACTGCTAATCTCCCCCTGCCCCCATTTACAGTTGATTCAAAAACTGTCAGTGAATGCATGATTTTCTAGATACATGAATAAATGCATAGAAAATGGTTCAGTTCCTCTTGAGGACCAGTGATGAGGATTTCAATTTGAATCTGTGTGTAAGTAAACTTTGAATTAACAGGACACCACATCACCATAAATTCCTAAGAAAAGTGTTAGGTCTGGTAATGACTTTGGAGGAAAAACAGAGTAATCCAGGGTTCCTGCTCTCTGCTGAGTGAATGCTTCATAGGAAACTCTCTTTTACTTGAGAAACTGAAAATACCAAGCAGAATTAAAGAAGAAGGGTCTCTGGAAGCCTGGCTTGTGGATCCTTGATGGGATTGTCTGAACAGGGAAGTACGAAGCTCTCTCCTAATAACTGACTTCCAGCTCTTGGTGCTGTCTGACAAAGTGCTTTGATTTCAGAGTATTTTCTGCGGCACCCTGCCCAGCTCTTCAGATCTAGCTTTTATTACTTCTTCCAAATACCACGGTTCCCAGAATTTATGTTCTCAATAAATGACTTCAAGGTAAGCCAAATACTTTATTATTACTATTTATGACAAATATTTTAATGAAAATCCATCTTTAAGAATGAAAGATGAACTAAAAATGTTAAAACTTAATTAGTGTCTTAGTTACTGTTCCATTGCTGTGAGGAGGCACCATGACTAACCAACTTAAGAAAGACAGCATTGAACTGGGGGCTCTCTTGCAGTTTCACAGACCCAGCCCATTATCATCGCAGTGGGGAGCATGGTGGCAGGCAGCAGGCAGACAGGCAGGCGGCAGACAGACAGGCAGACAGGCAGACAGGTAGACAGGCAGGCAGACAGGCAGGCAGACAGGCAGTAGACAGGCAGGCGGCAGACAGGCAGACAGGAGACAGGCAGGCAGACAGGCAGACAGGAGACAGACAGGCAACAAACAGGCAGGCAGGCGTGGTGCTAGAGCTGGAGCTGAGAGCTCAAATCTGATCTATATCCTGCAGGGTGGAGGGGTGCTGGTTTAGACTTTTGGAACCTTAAAGCCTACTACACAGTAATTCCTACTCCACTAAGGCCACACCTCCTAATCCTTCCCAAATAGTTTCAGCAACTGGGGATACCAAGCATTCACACCTATGCGCAGATAGAGGCCATTCTCATTCAAAGCACACAGGACATTTAAAGGCTTTCTTTCAGGCTTGCTTATCTTTCTATCTCTATTGATGCGTTTGAAAGCCTGGCTGTTCAACTTTGCACAAGAACTTGCCTCTTGTTACTATCTAGATGTCTGAATCCAGTTATTTTCTTCTCCAGTCAAAGAATGAAAAGGCAGGGGGAAAAACCTTTAATGCGACAGTTATCAGCAGAGAAATCTCAAACACAGCAGTCAAGAGCAGACAGGATCAGCAGCTGAAGAAAGGCATTTCTTGGGTGTGAGGAAACACACACACATACAGAGAAAAAGACTCAGGAAACAAAGAGCCCATCACCTTGAGTGCTGGGGCAGTTTAAGTCTCTGAAAGGTCTTCCTCCCCTAATTAGGGTTGGTCAGTTTGAAGAAAGGTCGGATGGCTAATTGCCCCACCACTCTGTGTAAACATGGCAAACCCGTCCCTTGGGAGGGCAGGAGAAAGTGCCTTCAAGGCCTTTGTTTGAAGCTGCCAGGCTTTTACAGCATGTCAGGAAGTGGGGAAATCGCTGGCTGTCTTGGAAGTTCACTGTTTTTATTACCTCGCTGTGGGCTGTGGCGCCTCTCTCTGCCTGCCTGTTAGGAATCTAACTCCTAGCCCTTCATTATAGGTGGGCATCTCTTCAGAGAGCCTCCGGTGAGAGGTAGGGATTGTGAGTTCCAAGTGAGGAAGCTTGACAGCAGCAGAGATGAAGTCCTCAGAGAAACAAAACCCACAAACAAAGGGAGCACTGAGCATCCCCCAGGTGTGGGTACAGTGCACGCTGGCCACAGGTGCCGCAGGAGCTCCGCCAGTGTGTCCTGGACACCTCAGACAGTGTTAGCTGTTGGGGAAGGTATTTTTAAAGTAACAGTATTACTGGAGATAATTCCATGTAGATCTCTGACAGGGAGGATTGTTTGCTGGGGACGGGGTGCAGAGCAGGACCCGGTGAAATGCTAAACACACCCAAACTGCTGAGATGCTCCCCAGACAATAAATCTTTAAAAACAGTAACTCTAATGCCATTCTCAAACCTGGGAAAACGAACAGCAGCTCCACAATATCATGAAATATGTATTAAAGACAGGTTTCAGCTGTCTTCCTTTCTTTTGTTTTTAAGAGACTCAAGCTATTTCCCATTTTTTATTCTAATTTCTATTGAAATGTAATTTAAACTTAATTTTTTATTTAAATTTAATTTTCCACGCTGTCCTTAAATTTCTGGGTTCATGAACTCCTTCCTCTGGGTCACTAAGATAATAGTCACACCAACACATCGGACTGTTAGAATTTTCAAAATTGATTCAAGTTCCTTGTTTCTTTGCTTTTCTTTTAAATACCTCGTAGCAGGTCATGTTGGCACATACCTGTAATCCTAGCACTCAGTGCCACAAACTTGAATCCAGCCTGGTCTACACAGTGAGTGCCAGGCCAGCCAGGTGCCCTCTTGGTAAACAAGCAGGCAAATGAAGTTGAAGCAATTAGGTCGCCCTGAGGGTGGGCACACAGGGTTCCCTGGGATTCCTGGCTGCTCACTGAGTACAGGGCTGTCCCCGTGCTGCAGATGCTGCCCGGTGACTCAATTATATCAGGCTTTAATCTGACAAGACTTTCCAAAGGGGATGTTCTACCTGTCCCTGTGTGTCCTCTTGGTGAAAGCTGCTGTGCCCAGCTCTCTTTTAGTTACAGTGGGCTCCTGAGCTGTTAGCCCAGCACAGTGCCCTGGCACTGACGATCTGGGTTTACTACCCCATACACTGTAAGTCCACTTCAAGAGCAGTTGCTTGCCTCCCTTAGTGTCACCATGTCACACTGATCCTTGACATGGCGCAAAAGTGCCATCGCTGGGAGGACAGCCGGTTGCCTCTCTCCTTGGGAGTCTGACCTGATGCCTTCTGGTACCAGGCAAGCTAGTCCTCTGGGAGGGCCGTTCAGGCCAGGTCTAGCTTGGAGGTCTCTGAAGCCTGTTTCCAAAGCACATGCCGTCTTCTGGACTAGGGACTTACCTTTCACCTCTTGGGGATACCAAGGGCACCAGCAGTGGCCTGGATGATTCAGGAGTAGACAACTTTGGGCACCAGCTCACAAGGGAGCTTCTCATGTCTGGTGCTGGGGTTTTTGTGAGGTGATCTTTGACTCTTAGAGGGAATATTTTATCAATCCAAATCCAAATGCATGTATCTATACATACGATTACATGTATTATAGGTTTTTATTTTTTAACTAACAGTATGATTTTGCACATCTTTTTCAAACATCCTTGTTATTTTATCTACCTACCTCCTTAATCTATGTCAACTGCCTCCCCCTTCCCTAAAGTACACCCCTTCCCCATTTCACTATCAGATCACGGGTACCCTGATACTCTGCTCGCTCTTGCCCTGCAACCCCCGTCCTATTCTGTTTCACTTTCTAAGGTTACTATAAGATATGGTGACGTAAGGCCTGGTGACCTGCCAGCCATAAAAATGAGGACACCTTTTAATATTTTAAAGCTTAGGCTGTAGCTGTGTAGACTCTCAACTAGCTCATCTGAGTTAACCTGACCACCTAGCCCCGTCCCTTCATGTGGCCAGCTATACCTTCCAGGCCTGTCTCCTGGAGAAAAAAAAAAAAGAAACAAACAAAAAAACCTCTATCTTCTAGAGTCCCTTTCTCTCTCCCAGAAAGTCCTGCCTTTCACTTCCTGCCCAGCTAGTAACTGTCAGTTTGTTTTGTTTTTTTGTTTGTTTGTTTTTCGAGACAGGGTTTCTCTGTGTGGCCTTGGCTGTCCTCGACTCTCATTTTTACATGAGGCTGGCTGTGAACTCACAGAGATCCCCTGCCTCTGCCTCCTCCAGTGCTGGATTACAGGTGTGCCACCGTGCCTAGTTGTCAGCTTTTTTATCAAAGCCAATCAGAGAATGTCCTGGGTGATGAGGAGGGACAGATCACTTTAACGCATTGTGAAGGTCACCTCTGCAATATGCACTTACATCTGGTGATTTGGAGCTAGGGGCCTCCAAAAAGAGAGACGTTTGTCTTTCAGGGTCTGCGTTATCTCATGCAACATGATTTTTTTTTCCTAGTTCTATTTGGTTCTACTCTTTATTTTTGTGGTAGAAAGTATATAAAAATTCAGTTGATGGTGGAAGTGTTAAGCGGTAATTGAGACTCCCAAGGCTTTAGAGTGTCCATGCTGACTGTACAGAAATTCACAGAAATACACGGTTGAGAATGGGCAAGTGTTTGCTGGAGTGGCTATCTTAGTCTAGCCAAGTGACACTTGGTGAGTTTATTACAATAAAGTGATTCTTCACACGTCTACACTGTGCAGGGTTGATGATAGACTATATTCTGCAATAGGGTGTTCTGTTTACTCTGTTCTGTTTTTTCACACAGTAACATAGCCTAGTGCTCACTTCATGTAAACGGAGAGATAGTCTCTAACTGTTGCTGGGGGGTTTCCTTCCAACCCCATGCTCCTGGAATAATGATTCATGACCTGCAAAAATTATGTACAAATACCTAGGCCATATACCTAGATTCTTCTCTGACTAGCTCATAACTTAAAATAACCCAAAACGCTAATCTACATTTTACCAGGCGGATGCTTCTCAGGGCTCAAGTACCATGTGTCTGTCCTCTTCACATTCTGACTGGTGAATCTCCTGTGCCTGGATCTATCCAAGAATGCTTTCTACCTACTGGATGTCCCACCTCCTATTTCACCCACATCATCTACCATGTCCACAGACCAACACCATAGCCCCCATCAACTACCATGTCCCCATATAAACTACAATATACCCCTATCAACTGCCATGTCCCCACATCAACTGCCATGTCCCCACATCAACTGCCATGTCCCCACAGCAAGTACCGTATCCCCACACTAACAATCATGTCCTCACATCAACTCCCATGTCCCAGCGTCATCTACCATACCATCTCCCTCCACTGTTTTCCGACAGGGCTTCATTTACGCCCGTTGGCTTTGACTGAACCTGTATGTAGAAAGATGCTCTTGGCTTTTGATCCTCCTGCCTCACCTTCCATAGCCACGTGCTGCCATGCTCGTTTAAGCTGTCTTGGGTTGGAACCACCTTTTCCTGCATGCTAGCCAAGTCCTGTACCACCGCAGTTGCCTTTCCCACCCCCGGCTCCCTTTAAGGTGAGAGGTTTGGCTTATGTGACACGTGAGACTTTAAATTGCCCCCCTCGCCTCCCGTAGGCCCTGAAGCGCCTGTTCGCCAGCCAGAGCACGGGCGTTGGGAGAAGAGGTCGGCAGCTGACCTCGGAAGATCTCGACGCCTACGTCTATGTCTTTTCTCAGCCTGGAGCGCTAAGTGGCCCGATCAACCATTATCGAAACATTTTCAGGTCCGTATCGTTGCTTTCCAACTAAGCAAAACATTTCATCTAAAGCGATAATTCTTCATTATTTTAAATTAAGTGTATTTCTCCAGACACGTCATATTCTGTGTGTGTGTGTGTGTGTGTGTGCGCACATTTGTGTGTGGTGGTGGTGATGTGCTCACGCTATACAGTTCCTCTGTGGCTGTCAGTGTTTGCCTTCTAGCACCGTGTTTTGAAGCCAATTCTCTTGTTTTTCTAGTACCTACCCCTGACTAACTGGCCGGTGAGCTTCCAGCGACTGTCCTGTCTCTGCCTTCCACCTCTCCACAGGAGCACTGGGGTCACAGATGTTTATACTGGTTGCTTGGCTTCACATAGGTTCTAGAGATTCGAACTCAGGTTCCCATGCTTGTTCAGCAGCACTGAACCATCTCCCCAGCCCTAATACTCTGATTCCATCTCCCTTCCTTTTTCCCTCCCTCCCTCTCTCTCTCTCTCTCCCTCTCTCTCCCTCTCTCCCTCTCTCCCTCTCTCCCTCTCTCTCTCTCTCTCTCTCTGTCTCTGTGTGTGTGTGTGTGTGTGTGTATGTTTTGAGACAGGGTTTCTCTGTGTATTCCTGGATGTCCTGGAACTCACTCTGTAGACCAGGTTGGCCTTGAACTCAGAGATCTCCTGCCTCTGCCTCCTGAGTGCTGGGATTAAAGGTGTGTGCCACCAGCACCCAGCTGGATTCTTTTAAGAAGTTTCTTTCATAGAAAATGTAAAACAAGGAAAAGTAGCGAATGGCATAAAAGGTCCCTCATGTAGCCATTGCTTGTTTCATCCATAACTGTACCTACTACCTCTTTCCTTCTGAGTAGATTTATGTTTACCGTATTGTAATTATCATGCATTAACCACTCAGGAAACAGTTTTAAGAACATTCTGTGTCCTGTGCTGTCAGCACTCAGGGTACAGTGTTGAGTAAAACAGGACACAGAGCCTGATCTCACAAACCCTGGCAGAGGAAGCAGGCCTTAAGTAAATAACCACAGTACCCAATCCATGGTGACAAACACAGGCTTTGAAGGAAACTGCTGAGAAGTGAGAAAGTGCCTGAAGAAAGAACTGCAAGAAGGCCGAGGAGAGGGGGCTAGAGAAGGGAACTAAGCTGTGCGGGCTGGCGGTCAGGACTTCATTGTAGCACAAGGAGGGCATGGCCAGGTGCAGGGTTGGGAGCACAGGAGCAGCATGGCAAGAGAGAAATAATAGTGGCAGAACATTTGTGATATTTTTAAGCCAGTATGGGTGATAAAACCAAGAACTACCTATTCGAAATGAGTCAGAAAAAGAGCGGGGAAGGGGAAGAAAGAAATATCCAAGACAGCGGTAGCCAGCAGGCAGGTGATACAGCGAGTGTAATCCCAGCACTGGAGAGGGGGGAGAAGGTTTGTTTCAGCTCACAGTCCCAGGCCCAAGGACGCCCACCCCCAGAAAACGTGTTGTAAGTGGCCGTAGAGGAAGAACATTCTTACCTTTCTGCCCTCTCTGGAGGCTTTTGCTTGTTTTTGCTCTAATTGCTCACTCGGCACACCTGCCCTGCCAGGAGAGCTAAGTTATCTCCAAGAGGCAGAGAGCCTGTGGGTGGCAGAACTCAGGACACTGTTTGGGTTTTGCTGTTGCTCTCTTCTGAAGACAGTCTCACTGAGTAGCCCTGATTGGCCTTGGACAAAACTCAGTTTTATGAAAGCTGAAGAAGATTGGTTTTGTGTGTGAGCATGCGTGTTGTTGGGCGTGCTCCTGAGTGGTGTTGAAGACAACCTGGGGTGTCAGCCCTTGGGATCCCTGCACGTTGCTTATTGAGGGGGAGCAGGGGCTTGCCTGCCCTGGCCTCTGAAGCCTTCGGTGCAGCTGTGCGCCTCTGCCTTTGACCTGGATCTTATTAGATTGGAATTACCCTTCCTTAGGGGCTTACTAATTTGTTTTGAGATAGGGTCTTAATCTTTGGTCCTGGAATTCTCTTTGTGGCCCAGGCTAGCCTTGAACTCGCAGTGATGACCTGCCTCTGCTTCTCAAGCGCTGCGATTACATTCACTCACACACTTGGCATGTCAGAACAGTCTCCCAACATGGCACTTCACAACTGTTTCTTATTACACTTCCCAAGGGCGTTGTTAATGATTGTTTCCTCCAAATCACCCTGCCCAGCATGGAGCTCTTCCACCCTTCCAAGAACCAATCTCCATCCTTCAGCAAGAGATAGTGCTGTCTCCCCTCTGCGGAATGCACAGTCCTCAGGGAACAGAGAACAGAGCAGCTTTCCCAAGCATTCTCAAGCCAGTGTTTCCTTTTCACAGCTGCCTGCCTCTCAAACAGCACATGGTGACCACGCCAACGCTGCTCCTGTGGGGAGAGGAAGATGCGTTTATGGAGGCTGAGATGGCTGAAGTCACAAAGACTTACGTTAAAAACTATTTCAGACTCAGCGTTCTGTCAGAAGGCAGCCACTGGCTTCAGCAGGAGCAGCCTGACACAGTGAACAGGCTGATATGGGCATTCCTAAGGGAAGAAACAAGAAGAGACTGCTCTTATTCTATAATGGAATCTCGAAAAACCTCTTAAAACTTGTTCATCAACTTATGTTTTATTAGAAAAAAAACCTGTCTTCATATGCTTGATTATAAATAAATATAGTGACATGGTATTGAAAAAAAATCTATGTATTTTTTTCATTATGTTTGTACAGAAGAACATTTGCCTTAAAATATACAGTTGTACTAAATGGTTATTGGAGAAAATGGCTAAGATTTGGCTTCTTATTTTCTTTATCCTATTAACATATGGTGCCTTTTACAAACATACATGACTAACAGGCAGATCTGGAATGGCAAACATTTATATTTCACTGTTAAAATGTTCTTATTTCTTTTTTGGCCATTAAAAATTCCATCAACTCCTGTGGATTTGTTATGTGTAAAGGAATCTGAATGTAAACTTCTGAAAATGGATTTTAGGTTCTATTTATGATGACTAAACTTTATTTGAAACTGGTATTGCTACATCAACCACTTAGAAAAATACCTTTTTACCTCTTCAGTGCAGTAAAAAATGAATATTATATAATTGTTTTGAACACTAGAGTCCATGTTTTACAGGGCGAGATTTAAATGTTTTATGGCTGATGTGCTTTGTCTGGAATAAAGGCCTGCAGCACTGTAGGTGTGCACACGATTTCGCAGTGAACGGATGCACTCTCAGGACCCCCGACGGACCCCAAGCTGCAGATGAGGCTTCCTGTGCGAGGCTTCCTCGGGGGAAGCTCTCACCATGTACCGTGGCTGGAACTTTTTCATCCTGAGGTGTGATAATCAAATTAGAATGAATCTCCTTTTCTCTCTCTTGTTTTCACGGCATTCTTTTTCATTTCTCCTGGGAAACATCCACCTTTTTAATTAAAAGTAGTACTTATGGCTTCTCTTTGGCATTTTGAGGCTGTTACTGGGGGAAATTAGCTAACATAGAGTAATACGTGGATTTTATTTTACACATACGCTTGCACACCAGCATGGCCAGTCTGAAAGGTGAGTGTCGAGAGCCATTCAGCCTGGGTATTCTAGACTGAGATGATTTTCACCCATCCCCAGGATGAAGCTGAGAAATGGGAGATTTTATCACAGGGCTCAGACTACTGTACAGTTTTAAACACTTATGCATTATTTGTGTGATTTTTTTTTTTTTTTTTTTTACTTCAGATTTTTAAACTCTGGTGGACTCCAGGTAACTAAAACCATGAATGAATGGCAGGGACTAACCACTGTGGTACAATGTTATAACCAAATATTATGCCACACCTGGCACATGGACTATAAAGGAAAGATGATAACAGGCATATACAGAATGCAATTGAAGAATGCCGAGAGAGTAGAAATGAACACTGTAAGATAGAGGGCCACCAAAGAGGGGATGGTGCCTGCTCAAGATACTGCTGCCCACTGTCACGGATACCCTCTTTGGCAAAAGAGACAATTAGTGGCATCGGCAAGTCACAGCACCTTAGTGACATTTCCTTCATTAAGTGGAAGTTTCTGGCTTCTTTGAAGACTCAGTTTTGTCATGTGATGTTTTGCTGCAAGCTGGGCTCATGATGTTTTGCTAGAGGATGGCTTGTGAGAGGGCATGTGATGTTTTCCTGTGAGCTCTCACGTGTGAGGTCGTGCCTTTGGCCAGCAGAGATCATCCGTGGTGGCTCTGAGGAGAGGAGATATATAGAAGCCCATGGATAGTGAGGCATTGCCTTTTGGATCAACATCGGTGCACTGGTCTTTGTGCTTTAACCCTTGACTTCAAGGAGAGAAACATTCCAGAGGCCTTCTCAGGACAATGCAGCTGAGTCTTTCGCCCCAGTCTTCTGAATCCAGTTGCTGCTTGCTGTCGGCCTTCAGACTAGACTGCTGGTATTCTGATGACTGAGTTTGGTAATCCCCTAAAGATCCATTGACCCTAATCAGCAGGAAGTAGATAAAAGAGGTCTACAGCCTTTTTCCCTAATAATCTCCTACCTAAGGTTGCAGGGGCGGGGGAAGGGGGTCAGAAGGTGCTTAAGATCCCTAAATAAAGCAGGTTTGGTGACAAACCTAAGCCTACAGCAGACAGTTCTAATAGTGACAGAAGAATGTGCGTGTACTCAGAATTCTCACTGTGCCATAGCAACCTCTAGGCACAATAAAAGCATGATTGTTTATGGAGGTACCCTGGAGCCTCATGACAAAAGTGCACGGTAGGGAGCATCACCAATCTAAAGACATGAGGGCGCATTTTAACATGCAGCTTTGCCAATTCCCCTTGTGTAAACGCTCTCACCTGGAAGTGATCTTCCGCTCAGGTCCCACCTTGCTTGTTGCGCTTTGAGGCCAATAGCACTTTCTGCTGCAGGTATAACCTGTCAGGAGATGGAAAATCAGGGCCCTAATTAATCCCTTTAGTTCTGAGAACAGGAATTCAAATTAGCAATTAGGGAACACAGCAGGGACCCGGAAAGCGGAAAGCAGTGTTGTCAGAGCTGTGAGTGGCACTAGATCTCAGAAAGCCTAATTCACACTGACCAGGCTTCCAAGAAGGAACGGGTCCTGGAGGCACAGTGAAGTAGAGCTTATTTAACCAGAGCCTGGTTACTGACAAGGTTGATCTTACAGTTGGTCTTTTTTCAGTTTCCGGTGTTGACTGGTTCATGGAGACCAATATTAACAATACAAAGCCCACATGCCACTGTCAATTCTGGCCTGTTGGAATTAATGCACCTTCATTTTTCCCTTCTAAATTATTAATTTTCTGGGTGATGAGTTTCATGGTGGCATTTCACACACACTTGTCACACTCTCTTCTCACTCATCCTCCTCCAACCGCCCTCTCCCGTCCCCTTTGTGCCTCTTCGACCCCTGGCTGGTCCCCTTCCTCCTATTTTCAAGTCACAGAGTGCATTTCTCTCTCTTCCCCACCTCTTCCTCTCTTCAAATCTATTTCTCCCTAAGTCTCTGTGGTATGGAAAAGTGCTCATCCCACAAATGCTTAAGGTGGTTGACTTATGCTTCTTAGCATAAAGAGATGTGACCAGTCCATGGGGACAGTGACTGAATGTCACTAAGTAGTTGTCAAAGCAGTCCATAGCAGTTTTTACTGGTGTTATCACTTAAACTTGAAACTTGTAATCAATATTTATTCATTCAAATTGCTATCTCCTTAGTAAGTATATATGAATAATATAAGTACCAGAAATTGCTATGAAAATTTATTACCCATCTATGTGTGAAACAGCAACACACTGTGATTGTTCTCTTGATGAGATTCTAATTCTCCTGTGAATTTTTCTAACTTTAAAGGTAGTGGCATCGTTTCCTATTAAGTGATAATTATCTGTCCAGGTGCTACCTACGTGCAAACCGAAACAGCACGTGAATGTGGGGAAAGGGATACCCTATGCTCAGGAGCAGGCTCCATGGCTCATCTGACCCAGTTCAGACAGACCCCAGACACCACCGAGCTGGAGGCGTGGAACAGCAGGTTCATGCAGGAGGAGAACAAGTCCTTGTACCCTCCGGCAGTGGCCAACCCCTTCATTCAGCAAACACACTTCAGTGCCTGGCGCTGGGCCTGCTTCCTCCTCCTCGGGTCGGTGCTGGTACCCGTGCGCGTGTCCTGTATTGCCTTCCTCTTCATCATTCTCTGGCCCGTGGTCACGCTCTTCACCATTAACTTCCCTACCCAACCCAGCAAACCCATGAAGAGCTGGAGGAAACATGTGATGAAGCCAGCCCTCGTGTTCTTGTTTCGTATGATATTCTTTTTCTTGGGGTTCCTGGTGAAGGTGAAAGGGAAAAGGGCCACCAGAGAGGAGGCCCGCATCTTCGTCACCGCCCCGCACTCCTCCTTCTTTGACACGATCGCAGTTGTGGTGGCTGGGCTTCCTTCAGTGGTCTCCGCGAGCCAGAACGTCCATATCCCTTTGGCTGGGAAGTGCCTGCTGTCAACTCAGCCTGTGCTTGTGCAACGAGAAGACCCGTATTCCAGAAAGACCACCCGGAACGAAATCCTGAACCGAGTGACATCCAACATGAAGTGGCCACAGATTCTGATTTTCCCAGAAGGAGTGTGCACCAATCGCTCCTGCCTTGTCACGTTTAAACTAGGCGCCTTCTCCCCAGGTGTCCCTGTGCAACCAGTGCTGCTGAGGTACCCCAACACCCTGGATACTGTGACCTGGACGTGGCAGGGGTTCACGGGTTTCCAGGCATGCATGCTGACTCTGAGTCAGCCCTTCACCAGGGTGGAAGTTGAGTTTATGCCCGTTTACATCCCAAGTGAAGAAGAAAAGAAAGACCCCATCCTTTTTGCCAACACAGTCCGAGTCAACATGGCCATCGCTCTGAGCCTGCCTATCACGGATCACACCTTCGAAGACTGCCAACTGATGATTTCTGCTGGTGCCCTTCAACTACCCATGGAAGCTGGCTTGGTGGAGTTTACAAAAATCAGCCAGAAGTTGAACTTAGATTGGGACAATATCCACAATCACTTGGACAGATACGCTGCGATTGCGGTTGCCTCAAAAGGAGGCAAAATCGGAATTGAAGAGTTTTCCCGTCATTTAAAACTGCCGATTTCCGAGCCCTTGAGACAGCTTTTCTCTCTTTTTGACAGGAACCACGACGACTCCATAGACTTCCGCGAGTACGTGATAGGGCTGACTGTCCTGTGCAACCCTGCCAACACGGAGAAGATTCTGCAGATGTCATTTAAGCTTTTTGATCTTGATGAGGACGGCTTTATAACAGAGCAGGAGCTGACAACTATACTCCGGGCAGCTTTTGGGGTGCCAGACCTAGATGTCTCCACACTCTTTGAGCTGATGGCTGGCAAAGAGTCAGCTCAAGTTTCCTACAGGAACTTCAGGAAGTTTGCTTTGAGTCACCCAGTATATGCCAAGTTATTTAATTCCTACCTCGACCTCCAGTCAGCCTACATATACTCATTGCCACAGGAAGCAAAAGCACAGCCACAGCACTAAGATGTCCACGCCGTTCCTGGAGAGAGAGGAGGAACTTTTACGTGGAAATGATGAACTAATTAAAAATTATTTGAGGAAAAACTCAGTGGTTGTTATTCTAAGTAGCACGGATACTGTCCTCAAGAAGCAACTTGGGGAGGAAAGGGTTTGTTTGACTTGTCTTCTGGTCACAGTCCATCACTGAGGAACGCCAGGACAAGCACTCAAGCAGGAACAGAGACAGGAACCAGGAAGAGGTGCTGCTTACTGGCTTGCTCACTTTCTTGTACAGCCCAGGCCCACTTGCCCAGGGAAGGCAGCACTTACAGTGGGCTGGGCCCTCCTGCATCAGTGAGTGATCAGGAAAATGCCCACAGCCTGTCCACAGGATGGTCTGATGGGGAGATTTCTCAGGTTGTCTTCTCCCCTCTTCCCAAATGGCCCTAGTTTGTGTTAAGTTGGCAGAAACTAACCAGCACAAATACTTACTTATGTTTAAGATATGCTGAAGGGACTATTTCAGTTAGGCTTTTCTAGTACCTTACCCCGATAAGATAATGTTTGTTGGGCACAGTGGCACATACATGCCTATAGTCCCCTCTACCCAGAAAATAGAGGCAGGAGCATGGCTTTACAAGCTAGCAACTAAACTCAGACTTTAAAAGGTTTACAGCTTGCCCTAGGCTTTCCCTTTTCATCAATAATAAATTGTCCTCAAGCTCCTGTTTGTTTTCATTCTTAAATTATTTTAATGGAATTAAGAACCCCAATGAGGGGACCCCGATTTGCCAGCTATCATATAATGGCTCTACCGTGATTCCCTAGGATTTCTGGTAGAATTTCTTTCTTACCTTTTAATTTTTTATTAATTAGCAGAGAAGACATCTTTAGAGGGCATCGGAAAGATCCTGTACTCTACTGCAGAGATACTTGTACAACCCCCGTCTGGTGCTGCTCAATTCACAACAGCTAGCAAATGGACTCAGTCTCCATGTCCATCAACAGAAGAATGAAGAACGGAAATGTTTTACATATGATGTAAATAGAGCATGGAGCACTTGTTTCTTTTTTTTTTTTTAACCTGTACTTTATTTGGAGTGTTTAAGCCTCAACCTCCCTTCCAGCCTTGCAACCCTACAGGAGAGAGGTTAGAGGGGAGAGAGGGCCCCTTTCCTTCTCCTGACTGTTTAGGGTCAATAGGCCTTTTGGGGCCCCATACTGGTCTCTGTCAACCACAGACACAGCTAGCAGGTTCCTTCACACCACTGTGCTGCAAAGCATTTCTCTTCACCTGTCTGCTCCAAACCATTACACTGTCTCTGGTCTCTGCAAACTGCTACATGTCAACACCAAACGCCACCCCTTCTCTTTCTCAGCTTTCATATTTATACTGAATCCTAGACCATGCCCCTCTCTGTGAATTACATGGAAGGCCATCACAAGCTCTGCATGAGACGACAGGTGCAGACAAACTACAGCCCAACAAAAATCCCACACGTAGGATTAAAATGAAAACATAGCTGAGTTTACAAAGAAACTACAATTTCCATTACAGGGGTATAGTAAAGAAACCACTGAAATGACCACTTCATGACTAGGGGAAGGTTTTTATTTCGGGGAGAGGGAGGGAGAGCACCAGAGGCATCTGGAAAAGTCCAACACAGAGAGAATAGAGACTGGACATAACCAGGGTTATCTGTTAGAGAAGTGAGAATTGTGGGGACAGGGGAAAACCTTTCTTTTACATAAAGAATGGCTGGGTATATGGGGGGAGGGAAGCCTGTGAACTGTAACAGCCTGGGACCTAGGTTGGGGGGTGTGGTGAGAAGGACCGAAAGGTTAGAATAGACACTGAAAGTTATACTGGGTTCTTGTGAATAGGGAACTGTAGGGGCCTAGAGGCTAACACGATTTTGATATGCTGATAGGTGGCACAGGTGTATGTGAATAGAGACCCATATGTCCCTTCTGTCAGAGGCAAGGGAAATGACTCCTTTTTGCCACACAAGAAATCTGTTTCACAACTTCCCAAATAATTCTGTTTTTAATCTAAGTGACAGAAATATTTCTACAATCCAGCTTGAGCTGAGCCTACATTCAAGTTTGGACCTGGCAATACATAGTGGAATGCTTAGGGTACCCTTTGGACCTGGCAATAGTGGAATTTTATTCGGCTGTAAAGAAAAAATGAATTATGTAATTTGCATGTAAATGCATGGGATTGGGAAAATATAAATGGAGATAACTGGCGATAGGAAAACAGTTGGGGCAGGGAAGTTAAGCAGGCATGTGAGTAGGGACCCATGAACAGTCGGAGGGTTAACTGTCATTTTTTCTTTGTTAGAAACAAGAAAAAGAAACTTATTCAGACTCCATTTAATCACAGGGAGCTGGAAACTTCCCAATAGCTGAACAGCTTCTGCTGTAAGGAGACAGTTGTCTGAGTCCAGACATCTCAGGGACAACTACTCCATCTTGCTGGCAGGGTCAACTAAGCTCATGTTCCCGGGCCCAGGAACCCACTACTTATATCCTGTTTGATGTAAACTCTCTTGCTCAATGCCTTATGTCAAAATGTGACTGGGCAATGCTTCAGCCCCCCGTCCCCCCCCCAACACTTTGTGGTTTCATCCTTTAAATATGCTGTACAACATCCCTTCCGGGTTGTAGTTCAGCTCTGAGTCTGAAGCCCTGATAGATCAGTTTCGGTTTGATTACATTTTTGTCAGCTGCATTTGAGCTAGTGTTTATGTTGGATTTAAATGGACCCCACAACACTTAACCTAAAAAATTTATTCCTCAAAGCTACTCTCTAATTAAGTGTAATAAGCATAGTAAAAAAAAAAAAGAAAAAAAGAAAAAAAAAGCCTTTTAGACATGTAAAAATAGCTTAGTTGGGATCCCTACTGCACTCAAGGCTGCACCTGATAACCAGAACCGGTGCCCATGACGCTACTAGACAGTGAGCAGAGACCACAAGCAATGCTCTGCTCTAGCACTTCCACAGCCGTGCCACTTTGAGCTGCCCTGTGAGTCTCGCCCTGAATCCTGACCCTCAAACCAGAGACAATTGGTAGAGCCTAGACCTCACCTTTAGCTGAGATACATCCCACAGGTGAGCAGCCCTGGGGAGCTGTGTTTAGGATCGTAGTTAGGGATTTAGAGCGTTTGGGCCTAGCGTGATGACCCTCGGCCTAATAAAGCATAGCATGTGCAACACCAACTCCGGCTATCTACCTTCTTGCTCGCGACATAGGACAGCACTGGGAAAGTCGTGGCAACCCCTGTCCTACATAAAGAGGACAGAGGGCGCAGACACTCCGGGAAGAAAGCACACAAACGCTACTCGCACTGACTTCAAGTCAATCCTCCATAACGTTCACTAAACGGTGGACTAGCACCAACCAGTGAGCAAAAAGAATGGTCCGAAGCCCTGGACATTTCCCCCGCTGGGCGCCAGCAAGCGGCTGTAAACAGAGCGACCGCGCTTGCGCGCAGCAGCCGAGTCACGTGACGCGGACCGCCGATTCCCAGGCACCGGGTACCGGTCCGCCGCGTTTAGGGTCCGGCTGCAAACGGGGCGGGGCGGGAGCGTTCCTTCTGGGGGCCGGCCACGCCCCCGTCCCGTCCCGCGCGGCCTGGCACGCCGGGCTCTGCCGCCGACATGGCCCACGGCGGCGTGGTGCTCCCCGGGGCTTGTCAGGAAGGGGTCGTCCAGGAAGGGGCCCGGCTAGCGGCGCTGGCTGAAGGCGGTGGTGTGGAAGCAGCTCAGCGACGTGCCCTGGTAGGAGGCGGGGCGGCGCTGGCCTCCCTCCTCCCTCCTTCCGTCCCTCCCTCAGCTCCTCCCTCCGCTCCTCCCGTTCCTCCCCCTCCCCTTTTCCAACCATCCCTCCTTCGTTCTCTTCCTCCCCTCCTTCCTTCCCTCCCTTGCTCAGCGTCCTGAGCCTCAGCCTGTGCTCGCCCAGAAAAGGCCTCCTCCCTCAGAGAGCTTCGTGTCTCATTGAGAAGGAACACGAAAATTAAACCCACAGCGAGGCTCAGCCACCAATTCGTACTCAGATTTACACACGGGCAGGCGCTGTTGCTGAGGTCCGGCTGCCTCTGGGTCCTTGAACGGACACCGTGTCTTTAAAAAAGTTTTAAGAAAAATGATTCTGTTAGGAAATCAGCGTTCACTTGAAATGGAACAGTTCCAGCATGCCTCCGATGGGGCAGCGGGGGATCACAGCTACCAGTTCTGGTCTGCCAATTAAGTGCGCTTACCAGGAAAAGCATAATTTGGCGACCAACTATTGGAGAACAACAGCACTACTTAAAGCAATTCTGGCAGTAGTTCTGCTTTGCAAACCTCCCATCTGCCCGAGTGGTCAGACTTGTAGACTCCTTCAAAGTGCAGTCTGGGGGCTGGGACTTGATTTAAGGATGCAAGTTTATGTGAAATGCATTTCCTAAGTTATGTATGAGTTAATAAAATTTATGCAAGTCCAGTCTTTCTTGGACATTAAAAATAGCCGTAGCCAGCCAGACACGTGCTATATAAGTGTGGGAGTGATTTCTCACTGGGGAGGAAAATTATATCTAAACAGTAAGGTGAAGGAAGCCAAACCTGGGCAGTCTGCTAGAACAAGCACTATGTAATTCTAACCTGAATCATTTCTCTGCCCCTTAATCTGCAAAACTTTCTTTTTTGGGGTTTTGTTGCTGTGGTTGTTGGTTTTCTAAACAGGGCTTCTCTCTGTAGCCCTGGATGTCGTGGAACTCGCTCTGGAGACCAGGCTCAGGGGTCCATCTGCCTCTGCCTGGCAGTAAGAGCCTGTGCCACCACACTTGGCTTTATTCTACAACTCTTCATGAGCACAACTGGAAATTTGGAAAGCCTCAGGCTGTGCTCACGTGTTGCCAGAAAAACTGAGGTTCTCTTCGCTGGCTTCATAGTCTCGTTTATTTGGGCCTTTTTTTTATCGGTCTGAGAAAGCTGGCTCCCAAGTGGGGGACAAGTGTGTGGGCCAGTGTCTAAAAGA